AGACCAAAACGAACGACGAAGCCTCACTCCGCCGAGCCCGAGACGTGATGGAAAAGAGAGAGCGCGCGCTGCCGCGTCTTCCCGTCGAGATTTGGGTGAGAATCTTCAAACACATCCAGTCCTCGTTTATCACAGAGCGAGACCACAAAGTCACCTTCGCCAGCAGCAGACGTTGCCAGAAGTGGCTTTTCGCAGACGCCATCCTCACCTCGTGTATCCTCAACAACTGTTTATGGACCATGCCTGGCGAGGTGACACTCTACATCCCTGCATGTCAGCTCAACCGCCTACCAGCCGCACCCCCGAAAGAATCAGGCTTAAGCATGGTAGTGCTGTACTCGGGGGCCGCGAAAGGGAACGAATGGGGGCTGGAGATGATCAGCAAACCCGTCACTCAATGGCTGAAGAGACTTGGCCCTGGTCGCTTGGAGGTTCGTTTCGTGAGCCCCGACGTCCACAGAGTTGAACCCACCATGATTGAGTCCCTGATCGGGTTGAACTGTCGGACCAGGGTGGACTTCGGCACTCCCGACGACCTCTTCCTCTCACGCAAATTCGCCACCCACACCGAGCACGATCATATCTGTCTTGGGGGCGCCATCAAGCGAGCACGGGATCTCGCAAAGAAGCTAGGAACTGCGGTCGAAAGGCAAAAAGGAAGCGGAGTCAAACACGACTCCAAACTCAAACTTCATGGCTTCCGGCGGATGAGGTGCATATGCGAAAAACAACGTGGTATCCCACTCGACACGCTGGTCAACACAATTCTTCCTCCGCTTCTAGACCACTGTGTTGATAAGGGCGGAGTGTATATGCCGGTCGATTTCGACTGGCCCGAGTCTTATGCACACTGGCGTCCAGTAACAACGTTCTGGTAATGGTTTAGGGTTGATGATATCCCCAACGCGAGCTGAAAGGAGATCGAGAGACAATGATCAACCAGAGCAAAGAGTTGATCAAAGTCATCAATTCCTGACTTTCTCTTTGCCGAATGTATTCTGTAGTTGGACAACACGATTAAGGGCTGGAGTGATGAATGTGTGCTCAGGAGTTTATCAACATTCAACTTGGCTCTTATGGAGCACCAATGTATCGATGTTTTCGCAACCGCCCTCGGGAATTCTCTTCTGTATTTCGTCATGAACTTCATGACCAAACTATTCGTCGCTTCAATATTCGTGACTTCAACATTCGTGAGGTATATTTGGTTTCGGCATGGACTCCATGACGAAATCCCTAGTTCCTTCAACATTCGTCACTTCAACATTCGTCACTTCAACATTCGTC